GTAACTGATTAACTTACTGAACCTAAGTACTGTACTGGCTGAGCTGAATAGAAAGGAATGAAGACAGGTTTTGTCATGCCTGTTGGGACAAAATAACTTTTGTTTAAAGTAAATGTAACGCTTCCTATCCCCCTTTTAACTGGATCTTAAAAGAAGGATAGAAAATCCTCTAGTTGTTTCTCTTCTCAAGAAAGCTTGGTTTAAATAGGAATTTTAACAAAATAAATAGGAATTTTTCTAATGACGAGGCAAGTAAAAAGTAAAATATTGGAACCTGGTGGGCTATGTTTTAAAGTACTTTAACAGCTCGGTGCATTATGTGAGATCTAGCATAATCTCACAGAGGAAGTATCAGCTTGGTGTGTGCATATCCAAGTTGATGAACAGTTATCTTTGTTATTTCTTGGAAGAATGCCAGGTGTCTATAACAACTGATATAAAACTGAATGGCAGACTTAACAGGCCTTTTAAGTGTACAAAGCACAGCTAGATAGTATCATTGTAATGTTTCGGAAAATATGTTCTCATCAGTATAAAACTAATGAGTTGTATCCAACTTAAACTCAGAGTAGACCCCCTGAAATTTATTGACTTCCGTCCTTTCTTAGAATTTAAGTGAATGGTTTCAGTGGGTCTTCCTGAATATGACTTTAATTGGCTATAACAAGCAATTTTTCTACTAGTTTCAATTTGTCTTATTCATAATTAATTTTAGTTGGATTGGAGCCTAAGAATTGTAAAAGAAAACTTGCTGATTTGGGCAGTTTACTTGTTTCACACATTCAGATTTTGAGAGATTTCATTTTTTTAAAAAACAACTATGAGTTTTTAAAATTAATGTATATTTTGGAAAGTAGAACATGTTTGTATGTATTCCAAATGGTTGTGATCCACAGTTCTTAGTACCCAGTTTTCCTACTGCATAGGAAAAGTTCGCAACAGAGTGAAGGATCCTGAGCCAAGATTACCCTGCTCTTATATTGGTCCACTGTGCTGGCTTGAGTCAAGTCCTTCAGCATGTGGGGGTAAGACTCACAGTGCTCAGGGCTACATGCTTTCTGTTTGGCCCTGAATCTATTTAACATGCAATTAAACCTTGTCTATTATCTACACTTAATAGTTCTTCATATAAAAGTACTGTATGACAAAGTAATGGAACTTTGTAGGCAAAGCACATTTGGGGTACCACCAGTAAACGGCAGCAAATTACCAGTTACCTAATTTATTGTGTGTTTTATAGCTATGGTTTAAAAATGAGCTTGTGTGTGTGTTCTTATTTGCTGTTTTGCAAAACTTAAGACTTTTTTTAAAAAAGAAAACTGATTTTGTGTATGTAAAAGCTATACACATAACAAATAGTTTGGATTTTCTGCCTCAAATCCCAGATTTCAGCTGAAAGTTGTTTTCAGCATTTCAGCTGTCATGCAAAAATCCATGCCATCAGCTTTGTGTAATTAACATGCCTTTTATATAATGGGGACAGGAGCTGCTCCCCAGATAGCATGGCAGATCAGTTTTTCATTTCAGTAGATTATGGATTGTTGCTTCTATGGCATGAGGGAAAGGCCGGTTGTGCTGTTTCACCTGAAGGATGTTTTTCAATATTGACTTATAACTGTATCTTCCTCATAGAAACAAGTGAAATATTTTGGCATGCAGCTCTGCTGTAAAGCAGCAACATGCCCACATTTATTATAAAATATGCTTTCTTCATAAACTGATACAAAAATAATTTAAACCAAAAACTGAGAACCATGAGGACGGAGAACTTTTAAAGCCTTCTGCTAAAATAATATTCACTTAGGGAAGAGTAAATGAGGGTAACAAAATCGACAAATTATTGTTTATTTAATATCACTGATCATTATAAAATGTACTGAGATAACTAACCCTAGATAATTATCCATAGGTATTCTCACACAGTAGTTTCATGTTATATTTGAGTAGTCATCCACATATTCTCACCCACCACCATTCTGTTTCCATGAATGCCTTCCACAATAATCTTGGGGATTACTAACTTTTACTATTAAAGCAGTAGAAAATTACATTCTGGGGGGAAATGAAGATTCCTTGGAAGTTTGTTAGGGTTCCTTAATGGGGATACCTGTCATTGCAAACAGTTTCCTGAAAATCAGCTTCTGTCTTACTACCCTCAAACATGCTTTTCACCCAGAGTGAATAACACACTGGGGGGGGAGCCATCATTGCCTTATGATATCAACAGTTCAAAATGAACCTGTTGCATCATTTGAAATGATTAACTGTGTGCTACATAAACTGTGGTCCACAGACCAGCCGTGGTCAACAAACTTCATTCAGATAATCCACTGTGTCTGCAAAAATACTATTAAAAACTAGGGCATCTAGCACACATTACAGTTGCTACAGCATGCAGGAAAAACTATTAAGTGGCCTGCCAAGACCCTCAGCAATTTTCAAAGGGTTCATGGGGGGGTGGGCTTTAGGAACCACTGCACTACAATGTCTTAGTATTCATGTTCACTTTCACTTCAGATGTATCTCCTACATTCTGCTCCGATAATAAATCAGAACATAGAAAGCTGTTTTACATCAGGTTCTATTATTTGTTCATCTGGCCCACTATTGTCTATTTTGAATGGCAGTATCTTGCCAGGGTCTCTAGTAGAGGTATTCCACAATGACCTAGTTTGTACATCATAGTAAAACATGGTGAATATGAAGATGCTTAGGAGGATTCTCATAAGAGCCCTATTAGATCATACCAAAGGCCTATCCAGTGCATCTTTCTTTTCTCACAATGGCGAACCAGATGTCCCTGATAAGCAGGACTTGAGCACAATTGTCTTGCACATGATCCCCAGCAACTGGTTCCAAACGCATACTTCCTCTGATGCTAAAGGTAGGGTATAGCCATCATGACTAGTAGCCGTTAATGTTTTATATGTATTTTATTACATTTTATATGTTGTGTTATATTTTACAAAATATTATTTATAAATAATAATCTTCATTGTGCCTTTCTGGTCTGCTATGCACCTCCCTGAAGATGTGTGGAGGAGACAAAACATGATCCATGACATAGCTATAAGGGCAAAGCAGAATTAATGGTTTCTCTCTCTCATAATTAGCAAGCCATGAACAAATCTTGGAAGATTATGGTATTTTGAGAGTGAAACATACCACAGGGCCTGGTTTGGATATAATGCTAAATCAGGGATCATGGTTTGTTTCCTCTGCACACTAATAGGGCTGGTACAAAACAAACAAAGTGTAATTAACTATGGTTTGTGATGCTGTGCAAGTGATGCCACAACCTTCTTTTATCTGGAAATGCCAGGGATTAAACCAGGGACTTTACAGCATGCAAAGCATGAGCTGTGGCCTCTTCACTAATTGCTAGGGGCTAAATGTTAGAGACTTTGGAAGGATCTGAAACCTAACAAATCACACAAACAAAATTTTAAAAGAATGCCCTATATCCCTCAGTGGCAGTACCTTACAGTTCTTTACCTCGGACAAGCACCCAAAATTACTTCCCCTTTTAAATTGAAATTTACACAAACTTTCTTTGAAATGTGACATTGCAGGAAAGAGTGGTATTTAAAAAGTTTGGCACTGGCCTACATTTCCTTTATTATTAGCCAATTTGGCTTCTGATTTTAGAAGTCTAAGCAGAAGCTAGCTTAAAGAGCATTCCTAGGGAGTACAGCTAGGTTAAAGTGACAATTGCACAATTTCACTTGTAGTTATCTGTTAATATTGCAAGCAGATCAGGGTTAACAACTGTACAGTGAGGAGTTCAGGGTTCATGAAAACAAGCAGAGCAGATTCCAGGAAAGTAGCAAGTTGCATAGTTCATAAGAATAATACTTTATTGAGGAGGGAGAAATGAAGTATCTAGATCCCAACCAACTTTTATATTCTGATACAGCACCTTTGCTCTATGCAGCACCTGTCAATGTCTGCGTGTCTTTCTGCTTAGTACATATCTTTGTAGGAAAGTAGCCTTTTACTACGAATCATCCGTATAACAGAGTGTATGCACATCTCACAAAACTTAAATGAATGCATTGAAAACATTCTTTTCAGTAGTTTTTATCACCTCCAAAGGTGAACAATTTCCACACACTCAGTTCCACACTCCCTTATTTATTGTTTATCCAATGAGGAAGAGGGACGCAGGTGGTGCTGTGGGTTAAACAACAGAGCCTAGGACTTGCCGATCAGAAGGTCGGCAGTTCGAATCCCCGCGATGGGGTGAGCTCCCATTGCTCGGTCCCTGCTCCTGCCAACCTAGCAGTTTGAAAGCACGTCAAAGTGCAAGTAGATAAATAGGTACCGCTCTGGCGGGAAGGTAAATGGCGTTTCCGTGCGCTGCTCTGGTTCGCCAGAAGTGGCTTAGTCATGCGGGCCACATGACCTGTACGCCGGCTCCCTTGGCCTATAGAGCGAGATGAGCATCGCTGGACCTAATGAGGAAGAAGGAATAATGCCCCCTCCAGGGCCTCTCCTTTTCCCTTCCCCCACTTTGTTGCCCCAAATTGAAGAGTCCAACATGAAAAGGGTGAAGAACTTTAAACTAGTGTTTCTAATAAACAGTAATGAATAAATTATGGCATTTGTTCTATTTGAAGCACCCCGTTTGCAAAATACTGACAGTATTTTGATTTGGCAAAAAATGTTCATTAAAAAGAAGTGCAGATGCTTTAAGTTGCTTTGTGACTCCTAGTTGCTGGGTTCTCTCCTACCCACCCCCCGTCGTTGCTTCTCTACCGGGGCAAACACTAGACAAGCATGGTGAGGAAAAAGTGGACCTGCTGCCTTAATTAGGGAAGGGCAGTAACTCTTGTGGCAAAGCATCCGCCGGGAGTACAGAAGCGCCCAGCTTCAAACCCCGAGACATAGCGCCTGCCTGAAACCCTGAGAACCGCTGCTGCCAGTCAATGCAGGCTACGCTGAGCTAGATGGACCTGCGTGGGGGGTAGGCTGGTCCAGAGCTTCCTGCGCTACTTCAGATGGTCCGCCAACAAATAGCCCGCCAGGAAGAAAGCGGGAAGAGGGGTGTCTTTTCTGGCAAGGAGGGAAGGAAATCCCCCTCAGAGGCGGAGAGCAGGAGAGTCGCCAGCGCAGCCTCCGGCCACCAGGGGCAGCTCCGTCCCGCCAAAAGCACCTCGGCCGAGCCGGTCGCAGACGCCGGGGGAGAACAAACAGAAAACGAAACGCTTTCCTCGCCGGTCGGAAGGCGGGCGCGGCGGCCAAGTATGACCCCTCCGACTTTCCGTTTCTCTTTCCCGCCGCTTGCCTCCAGCCACCGAGCAGCTGCCTCAGGTAACAAGAGCGCGCCCGGCTGAGGCGGAGCTGCCTCCCGGCCGCTTGACTTCCCCCCGGCGCCTCTTTCTTTCCGGACTCTTGTAAGCCTCCTCTTCCTCCATAGTCCGAAGCCGGCCGGCCGGCCGCATACATCCGCCCCGTGTCCCTCCGCAACCACAGCGAGCCAACCAAAGATGCCGCCACCGCCGCTTCTGCGGTTAAACTTGCCCGACCTCAGCGCGGGAGCAGGAACAAGGAGCCCCACCCCATAAACTAGTCCGACTCCGGTTTTGAGGCTGGGCCTCGGGAGCTGGGAAAAAAGAGGACCCTCCTCTTCCTCTTCCTATCACCCTTTTGAAAAAGCCGCTCTTTTCAAACTCCGAAGGAGCGCGCGCTGCGCTTTCCGGGGGCGGGTCCGCGTGTCACGTGGAGGCTTTGTTTTTGTTCCCCCTTCCTCTTCCTTCTTTCACCCACCAGCCGGGTAACCGGCTAAGAGCTTCAGGTCAGGCCACGTGCTGAATGAAGAACTTTCCTTCCTATATCGCTTTGCCCTGCATCTTGTTCGATGTTCGCCTCTTGCAATGCTACTGAAGCTGCAAAACAAACCCATAGTTTTCTGGGCTGTGTTGAAGGCACAGGAGCTCTGTGAGGTAGATATGGGGCAGGGGCGAGGGGAGTTTATTTATCTGTTTTACTCTTTTAACTGCCAGATGTGGAGAATACAGGAAGATTTTTAAAACTCAGCTGTGATCTGTTTAACTTCAAATCGTGTGCTCTGAAATGGAGGCGGAGGGGGAATCTTGCACTGAAATGAGTGTCTGTAAAAGCAGGAGTATGTGGCCTTTCAGGCATTGTTGGATACCAGCAGTGTTGGAAACTCCAATTATTCTAGGCAGTGCTTTTTTCTGGGGTTACCAGAGGGATGCATACCCCTAAACATTATGTGAATCTTAAGTTTGGGCTCATTGAGGGGCAGTATTTCAGTATGAGTAGGAAAATGAGAGTACCTACCCCTAAACATTTTTAAAGAAAAAAAGCACTAGTTCTAGGTGCATTTTTGCAACTGGGAATTTCATAAGCGCAAGCAGTTCCTGAGCTCTGGGTGCAGTAATGCACCTGCTGGTGAACTTCTGGACTTCCCTAAAATATCAGTAAAATGTACTCTGAGAACTTTAAAATAAATGGTCAGTCTTGGTTTTTACTTGCACAGAAAAATGGCACAAGTGAAGCATGTTCACCAGTGAGGGTGCGGCAACTCAGTCTCTGAACAGTGTGAATTGGTACTTATAGAAGGAAATTGCATGTCATGTACTGGAAACAGTCTTTCAGTTACCTTGAAATACCTTGTACCTATTAACAGATGGATGACTGCTATTCTGTTGCAGCAAAAACAACAAGAACCCTTGTGGCACCTTAAAGATGAACACATTTATTATTGCATAAGCTTTTATAGACTAGTGTCCATTCCATGCATCTGTTGAAGTCTTATGCCTGAGTGATTGTATTAGTTTTTAAAAGTGCCACAAGACTGTTGTTGTTACTTGTACCTGATGCCCTGGGCACTAGGCTACAGGTTCCAGAGGAAACAAGTTAATTCAAGGCCACTTAGCCTGAGCTAATTACTATTCAGGTTATACAAGGGTATCATCATCATCATCACCATTCATTTCATTTATGTACTGCTTTTCAGCCCAAAGGCCCCCGTAGCATATTAAAGCAAGCTATGTAGTAGAATACAGTAACATGCCATAAAGGAAACTATGCAGTAGAATACAGTAGCATGCCATAAATCAATCAGCAAGTAAAACAATCAGCAAGTAAAACAATACAAGGCAATAAAATTGTAGCATACAGACAAAAGAAAGACTTCCTGAACTAGAAGATTAAAGGATGCTTTTACCAAACCTGCATGCCTGTATGTAAAAATAATACATCCCCGTATTGCTTCCCCTGCTGGAAGAAAAGGAGCTTAAGGGAACAAGAAAGCAACCATGTGTTTTCCCAACTGTTGCAAGTCATACACTGTAAATGTTTTCAACCTGTCATTGCAGGCATCTAATTTTCTTTTTAAAATAAATCAGCAGTGTGATGTAAAACTAAAAGAGTGGCAAACAGCAAGAACTGCATAAAGACAAGTGAAACACTCAAAACAGAAAACACAAGATGAGCACCTCTGGAGGAACTTGTGGAAGTCCAAACTCCACAGAACCTGCTCCTGATTACTTCAAGGAATTGTGGTCCAAATTGAAGGAATGCCATGATAAAGAAGTAAAAGGTAATGTTATGGTTGCTGATCTATAACAGGCCAGTGTGTTTACCAAATAAATACATCATAATTAGCTCTTGATCAGCTGGTATTTGTGCCTTGTTCAGAGAACATTTGGTGAAAACATAGCAAGATGTTAATCATATGGTGGGGTGTGTATGATAATTGCAGATGAATGTGGGTTGATGTTGAGTGGATATTGTTTGACCAGACCTGATCTTTTCAATGTTCAGTTGCTTAAGCAGAATGTTTTGTACCTAGACATACTGAAGTTTTGAACACTCTGGCAACTGAATAATCTTAAAATAAGATTTTCTGGTTTATCAGTCTTTCTCCTGCTGGATTTTTTACAATGAACTGTGAAACAGAGTTAATATTTTGCAGAATGCTGATGTAGTTTCCAGTCTAAATCCTCACCAGAGTATCTATGATGTAGAAATTGAGCAAGGTGTATGGTGTACATAAGTATTTTCTAGCTGTTGTTCTTGGAATGTAGAAATGACAATGAAACCACAAGAGATTCTTATGGAGACCCTGATGGAGCTAATCATGCAGAACAAATCTATGCATTTTAAGTGAGAACTTAGTCCTTTTCAATTGGACATAGACTCTTGTGTCTTATAAGATTGCAGCCCCCGTCTCGTAACAGGAGATATATCTTACACACATGTACACATGCCAGAAGTAGCAGCTGTAAGACTTCATGCATTTGCATTCTATATGCAGACAGAATCATGCAACTCATTCCCAGGAATGCCAGCAATATTAACAGGCAACAGCAGAGTTGTTATTATTATTATTACAATTAATTTATTAATTGCCTTCCAAACTGCCATCTCAAGGCAGTTTACACATAAGATAATTAAAAACGGGTAAAAACAACAAATATATTTAAAGGGCAGGAAGAAAACCAACAGCTGATTTCACCTAGCAAACTAGTCTATACAGTACAGTGGTACCTTGGTTTACAAACAGTCCTGTTAACAAACTATTCGGGCAACGAACTCTGCAAAACCAGAAGTAGATGTCCCGGTTAGCGAACTTTGCCTCGGAAGACAAATGGTGGAAGGGCACCGGTGGCGGGAGGCCTCAGTAGGGAAAGCGTGCCTCAGTTTAAGAACCCTTTGATTTAAGAACGGACTTCTGGAACAAATTAAGTTCGTAAACCGAGGTACCACTGTATTGGGGAACAGATACATCCAAATAACAGGCTGTGTTTTGCCTGTTGCAGAAAACGGTGTCCAAGCTACTAGGGATACCAAGGATTGTAGCAGGCCAGATTAAAATCCAATAGAGAAAGTGATATCTGGGAATGTTGCACATAGAATAATTAAAACAGCCCAGGTTAATGCATTCAACAATATAGCAGAAGTCTACACTTCCTTGCTGCAGTTACCCCTACCCTCTCACTTGGATTAAGGGAGCCTGATAAAAGATGGGGTGTGAGAGGCATAGTAATTTCCTCAATATATTTTACCTTCTATAGGCCACAAATCATTTACTGAACTTACTAGGTTTATTAGCTTTAATCCTTTTGGCTCACTTCATTCTTCAGCTGAGTTTTTACAGTGGGTGGAATGTCAGTGAGGCACATGCTGAGGCATCATCAACTCAGGATTTTGCAATCTAAGGAGTGCCTTTATGTCATGAAGCCGAATAACAGAAAACTTAAGTTAAAAAAAAAATGTGTCTAATCTAATGTTCTTTTGCAGTTTGGAATACTAAAAACTTGGGCATGACCTTTCAAAAATACATAGGCCTGTATATTCTTGGAAATAGGTCCCCCTGAAATAAATGACACTGAATAAATCTAGTTAGATTGACTATGGGTGTGTCAGTGCAGCCTTGCCATAAGGCAGATTTTTTCATGCCTAAACCTTTGTTTCTATGTTCTACACAATGATTAGTAAAGTTAGATGCTGCATGAGTACATCAAAGACATGCCTGAAGGATAGTCAATTTTTGCAAAAGGTGGGGTCCCTCCTATAGAACTGGGTACAGTGATATTTAAGACACATCAAACACAGACTTGTCTGGACTTTACTTGTTCCTGAAGTCTATAAATATGAATTAAAGCTGACTCATGAATTTTGAATTCTAAATGTCAGCAAAATTGACAGTAGCCAGAGAAATAAGTGCCTGGTGCTTACATTGGTTGTACTGTGCCATTTTGTTGTTTTTCCATGTGCAAACTTCATCCTTGTGCTACCAAGAAAGCAATCAAATGATGATGTTATGTTTCTTCTAATATTTAACAACATGTTTTGGAGGAAAATACAGTCTAATAAGTTGCATACTACATTTAGTGCTGAATGCCATGGCTTCAGACTCAACCTTCATTGCATGTCACAACTTTTCTCTCTGCTTTGGTTCATGGCTTCAATTAGACAAATTCATTGTTGTGTGATGATGAACTCACAAGCCTGATTATCAGAATAAAAGCACAGGATATTAACATGGTTATGAAAAACCTTCCCAGAAGTTATGCTAAGGATGGAACTACAGTGGTACCTCGGTTTTCAAACATAATCTGTTCTAGAAGACCATTTGAGTTCCGAAATGTTCAAAAACTGAAACTCAATAGCTGACAGCTAGGCACTCAGCGGAAGCCACGTTTCCTGTTCGACTTCTGAGGTGCGTTCGAAAATTGAAGCATTTACTTCTGGGTTTACGGCGTTCAAGTTCTGAAACGTTTGTCAACGGAGATGTTCGAGAACTGAGGTACCACTGTATATATTATGTTAGTGTAAGGGAGGAATTTTTAGGGGAGATTTTATGGGAGGAGGTGGCAAACCTTTCCCTTGTAATCCATCCCGATGGCTTCCCCTCCCCACATTCCACACACGCATCCAACTCTGAAACCTGAAATAAATCAAATTGGGTGACGTGGGTATGTGTGTGAAGTACTGGGAAGAGGGTTGTGGAGGAGAATCAGTGGATGAGCATGGATAAGACACCTCACCACTCACCCTCCAGTTTCCCCCACAAATGTCTAAACATTACTGTTGAACAGTAAACACTCATTTGGGAAATGTGTGTAATGTGTAGTTCCACCCTTTGCAGAATTTCATAGGTTATAATTCAGTTTAATCTAACCTAAATGAAAACTGTGTGCGCAGCAAGCTGGCAGATACAAGTAAGTGGTAAATCTTACTCTTGCCATGCATTTAATGGGTATTGGTCTGTGTTCTCTGTCTCTCATACATTTTTTTGGAACACACAAGGCTGTTAAGGCAAGTTTACTTACTTTTTAAAAATCTCATTAGGACTAATATGATTTAAGCACAAATACTACATCTTTGATGGGTTATGAGGCAGTCTGTTTTATTTAAAGAATAGTGAAGAAAAAAATAAAAGTTCTAGTGATCTGCAAAGCAAACATAATTTTTCAGAATTTATACAACAGACTTCATACCCGAATTCTAATTTATTGATTTAGGATTGCTCCAGAAAGATTTCTGAAATATTCTGATAATTCCTGAATTCAGGCGAAGTAGTATTACTATACTTTTGCCTTCGTAGTACAGCTTATTCAGTAGCAACTGAGACTGCTAGTGTTAAAATACCAAAACCTGTGCCAAACAGACTACCTGTTCTTACAGGAGCCTCATTGTTGTGCGGTCTCATTCCTTCTGATGGGTGTGGAGAAGGATTAAAGCAGAGCACTTTATTAGGGGTCTTAATTCCAGATATCTAATTGTCTCGCCAAATTGCAGCCACATTTTAAGAAAAACTATTTCCTAACTGATCTACATGATCAAGCATATTTGAGTGCTTAAAGAGATAAGAGCCCTCCTTTCCTGTCTTCCCTTAATTTTTCTTTTGAAGTCATTTTCATGCATTTTCTATTTTGCCTTTCTTCTGTAATGGGACATGGCATTAATGTGTGGTATGACTGTTGTTTTCAAAACAGAAGCATGGGCTCTGATGAATTTGATTTTTTTAAAGCAGTCAGTAGTAGTCACCATTCATCCAGCTATGGTTCAGGAATGTAACAGCCTTGATTACCGGGATCAATAAATTTCGGCCAGCCTTAGTAACTAGCCAAAAAAAAATGCCTAGAAACCTGACCAAGGGGAGCTGGCGAAACAGAAGAGTGAAATAGTTCTTGCATTCATGTTGCACCAATTCTCTTTTCCCTCTGGAGTGCTAGCAACTTCTTAGCTAGATTTCTATAATGTGCTTTTTTTCAGGGCTACCCTTGGAGACAGCATCCTAGGAACCATTGGTTCATTACCTTCTTTTGAGAACTGAAGTAACTGAAAAACAAACTATAAATTTCTGAAATAACTTGTTCAGAACAATAACCCTATAATTTAGCTCCAAATGTATGCATTTGTTGGTAGTTTCTACATATACATATAAAGACATTATTCTTCACTAATTTGTATATGGAAGTTCAAAATATAAATTATTGCTTTTCTGTTTCTCTTTCTTTAGGATTACTGGCAAAGATCACCAAGCTGAAAACAGAAAGGTGTTTGTAAGTATCTCCTCATATGCTATAATTCTTAATTTGATGGAAATAGTTGCATTTATTAACTGGTCCTCAGAGGCTGGTTTTTCAGACAGAGCCTACTATCTCCTTTTCTAGGAATGATAAAGCAAAAGGTTAAGGACAATATTGCAGGGATTGTAATAGAGGCAACATTTCTTATGTTTAGCAATCAGTTACATTAAAACTGCAGTACTATGCACACTTTATTTGGAACAAGTCTCATGGAACTTGGTTGAATTTACTTCTAAATTCATCAAGTCTTGCTGAAGCAGAACCAGCATGATTTCTGCAAGGGCAAGTCCTGTCACACTAACCTTGTAGAATATCAGCAAGGATGTAGATATAGGTGTACTTTTAAAACGCCTTTGATAAAGTCACTTGTCAAAGCCTTGAATAAGCTTTGGAGTTAAGGAATAATAGGAGAGGTCCGCTTATGGCTCTGTAACTGGTTAAGCAGCAGAAAGCAGAGAATAGGAATAAATAGTTCTCCAATAGTTCTCCAACTTAAAGTTGTAGAAAGTAACCTCTTAATGGATCATTATTGAGAATAGTGTTTAAGATTGTTGAAATAAAAAGGGATTGTGAATGTGAGGGCTATCCAATCTGGGTGAATAGGCAGTAATATAGCAAGTTCAATTTTATGTAAAGTGATGCACATGGGGCCAAACAATTCTAATTTCACATATACACTAATGGGGCCTGAACTGGCAGTGGCTGAGTAGGAATGATACCCAAGGTTGTAGTGGATAGCTTGATGAAGGTGTTGACCCACTGTGTGGCTGCTGTGAAAAAGACTATTATTAGGAAGGAATTGGAAACCTGCCAGTATCAGAATATCATTAATACAAATTTATGGCGATACTACACTTGGAATATTGCAAATGGCTCTGGTTGCTTCCCCTTGAAAATGTTAATGTTGAGCTGAAAAGGATTTGGGAAAGGGCAATCAAAACGATCAAGGGGCTGGAACAACTTCCCTATGAGCAAAGGTTGTAACCTTTCGGGCTCTTTAGTGTAGGGAAAAAGTGCGTAAGGAGAGATAGGATAGAAGTGGGCAAGAATTAGGCAAGTGTGGAGAAAGTGGATAGGGAGGATTTTTTCTCTCCACCTCTCATAATACTAAATCCCTGGGTCATCCAATGGAAGATTCAGGACAGACAAAAGGAAATACCTATTCATGCAGCACATAGTTGTGGAGGCTGTGTTTAGCCTTCACTGTTGGGCTGCAGTGTGCCCTTGAATGCCAGTGGCTAAGAATCACAAGTGAGGAGAGTATCATTGTACTCAGGCCCTGCGTTCAAGCTTCCCTGTGACTACAGAATGCTGGATTATATGGTCCTTTGGCCTAATCCCACAGGGCTCTTCTTATGTTTCTAAGTAACTTGTATAGGATAAGGTTGCTAATGTTTCGGGGCGGGGGGGGGGGGAGAGATACATCTGCTAAGTTCATTTCAGCCTGTACACAAATTTCCAAAAACATTTCTGTACTCTAACTTCAATTTAAACTTTGTTGTAGAGTGATTGTGTTTGGAATAATATTGTCACGTATATCTCCTTGTTAAAAAGTTTCCATCCTCAGCTGAGAGTTGGTGGAAGATGGGTATTATTGATGACTTTCTCTTGAGATTTAATACATACCAAGCTAAATGGCTTAATTATTACTTGCTGGAATCATCCTACAAGTAGTGCATTGTAGATATAACAGTCTTCTATAGGAGTTCTTGTTCTCCCCAACTCTTTCTGAATACCTGAGGTTTAATATTTCAGCACTGATAACCAGCCAGACAATGAGCTCCTTATGCTGCACCCTGGTTCAGCGGTGAGGCTAATGGTCTTGGAAATGCAGGGTCAGGGACCACTCATTAGGAAGGCTATTTTCATAGCTGAAGAGCTTGTCAGTTTTGTCAAGCAGCATCATGACCATCATGCACTATTTTCTCTCTCTTTTTACACTTTTTGCTCCGTTCTTAGAATGTGAGTGTACTTAGAACCAAGTGATCCTACCCATGCTTCATTCATAGTAAATACTCTGTGTTCAGTGACATATATTTCCTAGCAAGTGACTTCATTACAACAAAGTAGCCTGAACATGTTTACTCAGAAGTAGGTCTGAGTGAGTTTAATGCAATTTGCTCTCAGGTAAGTTTGCTTAGAAATTCTGCTTTAATGTAATATAAGTGCTGCTTAGCTTTAGAATAAATTCTAGCTTTAGACTAAAATTGGAAGCTTTTTGAGCCACAGGTGGCACTTTTATGCATGATTAGAGGATTGCATTCAGTTGCCCCTAGGCCACCATGTTGTGCATTTTTTATGCTGTCTTAGGTGGCTACTTTCTTTACTGGCACAATCACTATGCCTATAACAGGCATTCAGGCTTGTGTGTGAGAAACTCAAGCTGGAAATCCTATTTAGTGTTTGTTTGATCTGCATGCTGTGCATACTTAACTGGAAGCAACCGCCTTTTGGATATAGTGAGAATTTATTCTTAGTGAACATACATAGGATAGTAGGATAGCACTATTGCTTAAAGTACTGTCAGTACAGTATCGCTGTAAGGTTCCCTTTGTTTCACTTGAGTAAGAAATACTGGTTTGCCTAATGCCACCCAGTAGCTGTTCATAGCTGAGCTGCAAGCTTAAGTCCCTAAGATATAGCAGCTTCTAAAGCAAGTCTGGAAAACTACTACACACTCCAATCAGTTTTGAATAGAACTGTTTATATTTGGTGTCTGTTGTTCTCAAAGCTTGACTGCCAGCATTTAAAAAGAGGTGCCAGATCAGTTGTTGCTACTGTTATTACGGCTTCCATGTTATCCTCACATAATTGCAGTTATCGTTAGTAAAAATCCTTCTTGCATTAGTTAAATTGTGTTTGTTTTATTGCCACTGACTAAATCTAACAAAAACCAGCCCTGAACTGCTTGAGTTGCAGAGAACTAAAGGGTGTAAACAAGAGGATTGTACATTTCCCACCTGCACACCCGTTTGTTATTAGATGTGGGCCTTCCATCCCACCCCTTTTCTAAGATCAGGCCAATACCATGTGTAAATGTGCAGTTCTGCCACCACTGCATTTAATTTAGGCTCCTTCAGAAAGACAACATATAAATTGAATAAATTAAACAAATAATAGTTTGGCCAGACTATTACAGTCGTACCTTGGAAGTCGAACAGAATCCATTCCGGAAGTCGGTTCGACTTCCAAAGCGTGACTTCTGGTTGGCTGCAGGAAGCTCCTGCAGCCAATCGGAAGCTACAGAAGCCTCGTCGGATGTTCGGCTTCCAAAAATAGTTCACAGACCAGAACAGTCACTTCTGGGTTTGCAACATTCGGGAGCCAAAACATTCGGGAACTAAGCTGTTTGACTTTCACGGTATGACTGTATTTGTTTATCTGATTCCACCATGTTCTCCCTGCTCTATAAACCAATCTGGGACATAACTACCACACATTATATTAAATGTGTAGAGTGTAGCATCAATCTTTCTTTATTTTTAATGCTGATCATAAGGGACTCTGATTTTCACTGAGACCATGGGAGTGTCTTTTCTGAGGGTCATTTCCATATTGTAGGGGGTTCATGGGGATCACAGCTAAGGGGAAGAAATTGTTAAACCTCCCTATGTACTGCTTCTTTTTAAAAAAAATTGTGAGCATCCTATCCATACATGTAGGACAACTTCACCATTCTGATTCATTAAGGTTTCACAGCTGTATGCTCCTGCCTGAGAGTAAACTCCACTGAACACACTGGGACTTGTGAGAAAACCTGCATAGGCTTGCACTGTAATTTGGTTATCTTTTCTCATTTAAATAATTCCCTGCAGCCCATTCTAATGCAAAGTTTTCCTTGACAGAAAACACATGCGCAGAATAGCTATAATTTTGTTGTACTATGCTACCACTTCCCTCTTCCATCAAGCACCATCCTTCTCCTCTGTCAAATTCATGTTACTTATAGTGGAAGCCAATGGAACTGTGACCATGTGAGTAATGTGCTTTGTACTGCAGATGAGTCATTTTATTAGTCTGGTTAGCACAGTTTTCTTACTTTGTTAACTTTAATATGATTTCTGCTTAATGAAAATGCATATATCACATAGACAATTGCTGTAAATTAATTTTCATATACGTTTAGGGATGCAGAAAGACTCGAAGAGTTTTACACCAAAAACCAGCAGCTTAGAGAGCAACAAAAATCATTGCATGAAACAATTACAGTTTTAGAAGACCGGTAAGTAGAAATTACCCCATTTTGATGGTAAGGTTTAGCCATAATTTTTCTTTTTTTGAAAGCCCTGCCGATTAGATTATTGTTTGCTGCTTGTATATCAAACTCAGTAGTAAACAGCTTACTAAATGGAAGAGGTGATAATGGATGCTCTCCCTGACTATTTTAAGTTTTGAAATCAAAGCCTTTTGATTTGTATTGGACAACTTTTTTCAAGGACTTGGAAGTTCATTCAGTGCTATGAAGCATGTAACCTTTTATGATGTGTGTGTCAAGAAATAAGTTCAAATAGATGTATTCTAGCTTGATCATCCAGAACAATTTTGTTGTTCTGCAGGTAGGAAAGATTTAGAAGTTGAAGGAAGGTCTTTGATAGTAAAATCAGAAGTGTGCTTCTGATTGCCATGTATCCAAAAAGGTGTTTCACATTAATAATAATAAGAATGGTTGATAGCCAAGATTTTAAAATTCTAGATCATCTATGCCACTTCAGGTTGTAATCCTAAACACACTTACTAAGGAGTAATTTCCACTGGACGTTTATGGCCTCTTGTGCAGTGGTTCACTATTAAGTAAATACTTTGGGCCCCCTGTTTTTCAAAAGCTAAGCCATGGACCTCCTACTTTTGAAATTTTGATAGATCAGTGGTATGCCCTGAGTTATCTAGTACTTTAAAAAATATTATGCTTATCTAACATATCTTTATCTTCTAATTTCTATAGGTTAAGAGCAGGATTATGTGATCGTTGTGCAGTAACTGAAGAGCATATGAAGAAAAAACAGCAGGAATTTGAAAATATTCGGCAACAGAACCTCAAGCTGATTACAGAACTGAGTGAGTTTTATCTTCCTTGAGTCATTTCATAATAATGGGACCTCTTTGCATGTGCTCTGTTATCACACTCTTTTGAGTCAGTAATGGTTAGTTTTTCTATATTTAAATACTACGTTGTTCACAGAAAATGCTCATTATGTCTTATTGACCATTCATTCCCCAAACAGGCTTATACTCATAGGCTCTCCTGTGAGAGCCAGTGTGGTGTAGTGGTTAAGAGCGGTAGATTCGTAATCTGGGGAACCGGGTTCGTGTCTCCGCTCCTCCACATGCAGCTGCTGGGTGACCTTGGGCTAGTCACACTTCTTTGAAGTCTCTCAGCCCCACTCACCTCACAGAGTGTTTGTTGTCGGGAAGGAAGGGAAAGGAGAATGTTAGCCGCTTTGAGACTCCTCAGGGTAGTGATAAAGCGGGATATCAAATCCAAACTCCTCCTCCTCCTCCTCCTCCTCCTCCTCCTCCTCCTCCTTCTTCTTCTTCTTCTCCATTGTACCTAATATGTGGGAGTGTACAGTTAGCCTCTTAAATTTTGGAATGTCTAATAAAACACTTCTTGCTTTCAAAACTGTTAATATTATAAGATAAAATATAGAGAAGTGCTTTTTTCCTATGTCTTTAAAATGTCAGGAACTACCACAAGCAGAATTTGAGTGAAATTGATTTATAGCTCAATAATATTTCACTTGGGCTTGACTCTTTGCTCACACACAAAGGTATATCCTGCCAAGCTATGGTTTGTTTTTACATCCAAACCTATGGAACCTTACAAGCCATGGTTAGAGAAGGTACCATCAAATCAAGGTATCAAATCACAGTTTGAAGAGAATTTGCAAAACACAGCTTGTACCAATTGTTGTCTGCCATGGCATCCGAATTCAGAAACCCGTGACAAACCATCATCTCAACAGAAGCAGAGCAGCATCACAGGAATTGCTCTGCCTCAAGAAGCTGCTGCACTATAGAAACCAGAGCGAATCATAGTTCTGAGCAGATAGAAAACAATAGGAGACAAATAGTTCTAAATTATTATTTACCATATGTTTGACAGCTCAAAACAGCGTTGTGGGTAAGCACAAGCTGTGGTTTGCTATGGTGTATGAATTGAGCCAGAGTCTGTTTATTGCTATAGATGCCTAAAGATTCCATCCCAAACCCAGATTATATTTGGTTTATGACTAGCTTGCAGGGTAGAGGGGAAGGAGCCGAACCTTTTCTGTGTTTGACTTGACTTGCTTTAGTCTCCTGGAGGTGTTTGCTCTGCTAGCACCATTATACAGTGCTTCTGCTATACAATTGCTATGTTGATTGTTTGAGGAGTGGAGGATGTTGATGTATTTTCCTCCCATTAATCAGGTACTGTTGGATTCAATGAAATTTTGTAATGTTACCACTTTCCCTTTAATGTTATTGTGCTGCTTTGCTTATAGACAAATGGAGAACTCTTCTACATCTTAGGTTCAGGGGCCTTCTAAAGGGAATCAAAGTTCCTGGATATAAACTATTACTTGACTTTCTTGTGAAGGGAGTATAGCTCACAAATGCCCACTAATTTGGATAGCATCATGATTTTGGTCAAGGATAGGATAAAAGGCACATCTTTCCAAACATCACACAAGACAGTAGCGCCAGTACTTTTTTAAAATGTCCTTTCCTTTGCATCACCAGTCTTATTTCTTTCTATTGAGCAATATTCTCATGTGATGAAAAAGTCAATTAGTAAGTAATTTGTTGCTGGATTTCACAGTTAATCAGTGTGATGTAATTAAGTTACAAATTGCATTTATAACATTCTGTTAGTGACTTGGCTGGAACTCTTTATTTAGAATGAAAACAAAATGTATTGGAGTACAAGTACATGCAAGTGAGTTTTTTAGTCATCTAATGGATTTCCTAAGAAGACTGATGAAGAAATAAAACGCAACTGGAAATTGCCATGTTATTTCTTTTTTTTGCATATTTCAGTGAATGAAAGAAACAATTTACAGGATGAAAATAAAAAGATTTCTGAACAGCTTCAGAAGATGCAAGAGAAGATAGAGTAAGTATAATTCCTGTTTGTACCTATGCAAATAGATGTAGGGAAAGGTTTGTCCAGGAAGTGATGGATAATGACGATAACCAAACCACAATAAATCAGATAAACCCTGTCCCATCTCAGTGTAACACCCTCCCTTTCCTGAGAGGGAAGGAGTTTCTCATGGAGTGCTGAAAAGTTGGATACCAGAGTAGCTCCATATCCCAGCACTTTAAAAAATATGTATCCTACTGTCTTTTAGTTGAGGGAGGTGAGGAGGCAGTGTATCTCATGCCATGCTGCTAAGTTTTGGAGCAGATGGAAACAGAGAAAGAGAGACCTGGTGTTTCTGCTACTCCAGGACAATATAAGAGTCTCTTCTACCTCTGTACTTTGTTCTCCAGCGCCTGTAGGTGACTGGTGGGAGGGGTCATAGCAAAAGGAGTGATCTCTGGCAACTACGAAATATGCTTGGCTGGTAAGCCAAACCAGAACTTGTGAAAGGTTTGGTAAATGAGCCTGTTGTCATTTCCAGCTATTCCTTTATAGTCCCACTGACTCCCTGATCTTTTGTTTATAATTTATGTTTTCACTGCCAATGTCTCAGCCACTTATTTTAGCTTCAACCTGCCAAGACATTCTTTGTTCTGTCCACCATTTGCCTTTTTATTAGCACCTTCTGCCAGGTTCCCTCCTTTTAATCCAGGCATAGGCAAACTCCGGCCCTCCTGATGCTTGGGACTACAATTCCCATCATCCCTGACCACTGGTCCTGTTAGCTAGGGATGATGGGAATTGTAGTTCCAAACATCTGGCGGTCTGGAATTTGCCTATGCCTGTTCTAAGTGGCAGTGCCACTCTTTTTCTATAATTTAAAAGGACCAGTTCTGCCTTCTCTAAGGCTACATTCCCTGATTCAGTTAGGTAGCTGTGTTGGTCTGATGCAGTAAAAAAAAAATTTAAAAAATTGTCCAGTAGCACCTTAGAGACCAATTAAGTTTGTTCTGGGTATAAGCTTTCGTGTGCATGCACACTTCTTCAGATACCAATTCCCAGTGACCCTTAATACACTCTTGGCAGATCAACACTTTCTGTTTTTTTGTAGTATTTAGATTTCACATTAATTTTGTTTGTTTTTCTTAGGGAGCAAGAGCAATACATGGAAGAGTTCGTTCCAGATTCACCTGTTCAGTCACTTTCAATGGTTAATCAACTGCGCCGAAAACGGGAGAATAGACATGTCCAGTACACAGAACAAAAGGGTCCAGATTTGGAACAGACAGGAAGACCTCATAGTACGCTTTTTCAAAAACTATTTCCCTGCTAAAAATATTAAGAATAATTACAGTTTGAAGGAGGTCCCCTTTATACAATATAAAAATATATAATTCCAAATCCTTCCTTCCTTTTAGGAAATGGTTCTGAATTTTTGGTAGCAGTGCTTCCTTACTAACTTGTCTCAGACTACCACCTAATGGACATTAAAAGTATTTCCATCCTGTCATACCCACAAACAGAGAGCCAGTTATTTTAGAGTTTCCATAACAAGGAATAGTCTTAACTCCCATCAGGTCAGGGGAAAACTGTGTGAGAGGAGCTGCTCCTGAGCTGGGCATTGTTGCTTGCTCTGTTTCTGGATCTGAATATGGGGGAAGAATACCTCTAGGCCAGGGGCAGCTCTTGATCAAGCACAAGGCAGAGAACCACCATTGATATTAAGGAGGAATTGCTGTAGGGTGCCATAAATAAACTTCATTTTATAAAGATGCTGTATCTGATTATGACCTTTATTTTTCTCTTTCTAGAGCTTGGGAAGATCCCTCTTTCATCCACCCAAAGGGATGTCTGTCCTGAAGAAGAAGTATTGGTGGCTGATACCTGCGACCCACAGCTCTCCCCAGTATCACGTAAATTTAGCAAGTTTTGCCATTATATATTTAAATTAGTGATAGCGGAAAAGAGTACAGTCACTTTTCCTTGGTAATCACTCTGTACTATTGAAGATTTTTCTTGTTTTACTGCTTAGAGTTTTTTTATTAATTAAGCAGTTTATAAATATTTTAAATAAATGAAGCTTTTAGTGGAGATCTTTATCCAAGTTCATCTCTGTATTTGATCTGAATTTTGTTCTGTTTTGTTTTTGCATATGGAATTATTTAATTGTTGATGTTTGATGCTTTGAGGTATTTTATGGGGAGCGAATCATGAATGGAATTGAATAAATAAGAAAAACCCTCAGTGTGAAAAGTGCTCTGTACGATCCTTTGGTCTGTTTATTCTTTGTTAGAGGAGGCATATGACCCAGGACTAGCAGCCCTTTCAGGAATCCTGGAGATTGCCCATTTGCCCAGGCATTTTGCCGACTCTTATGAGGAAACCATTCACCCTCCAAAGCTATAGGGAAGAGTTGAACAGAAACCAGGAACCTCAAGAGACAGCTACTGCAAACTTGCATATTATTAAATACTATTATGTTCATCTAAAATGTTTTTTGAGCATTCAAGAAATAGGTTTAAAATTAAAAATCAAGGATTCAGAAATGTTCTGCTGAATTAATTGCCTTGGAATAAATCATACTTCTATTATTGCACAATTCTCAATTTATGGACCTCTTTTTTAAACCTAATCCTATCTGTACTAGCAAAAGTGGAATATGTTTTATCATGCATGTTCTGAGTTACTGATTTCTTCTCTCCATCTGTACAGATGAAAAAATAGCAGGAGAGTGCACTGCTACAAGATCACCATTTGCCTTGGCAGTAGTTGTTGCAGAAACCCTTGGACTTGATGAGCCTGTGAGTACTGATTTCATGATCTGCCACAAAAATCTAGTTGGGAAATAAACTCTCATAGGGAAAACCAATTTTTCTTTTGCTTATTTTGTCTCAAGATTTGGTAAAAAGTACCACCAACCAACTGCTAATGACAGCAGATGAGGCAACTGACTGTGTATAAATCGCTGTGTAATCATTGTTATCCATTTATTGTGTCAAAAACTAAATGAAAATGTAAATGAAAATTACAGTTCATTTTGTAATTTTTCATTACTGGTAATTAATGTTGGTTTTCAGAAATGTGTGCCACACTTGTATACTTATTATGTCTTTGGAGGCTGAATATTTTTATTTTATTTTTTGCATGGTAAATTGGAAATAAATTGCATGAAGGTGGTATAGAACCATATCTTTTAGAATTGCTACTCATATTACTTTGTTGGTGAAATATAACTCATTCATTGCAGTGATTTGATTTAATGGGATCCCTTTGCTATAGCTTCAGAACATAATTGGTTAAATAAAATTATATCAGATAAGCTGAGTGCAATCACACTAATCCAGCTCAAGGAACTATACGCAAAGAAGCAGGCTTTTCTGAGCATATCCAGAATTTGACAGATAACTACATGCACAACCAGATGCTTCATTCTCAATTTCCTCTTCCATTCAGCAAATCTGGGGTTTGCATACAGACCTGCCTCTACTTTTTATTCAAGCTGATTGTTCTGTCAACATAGGCCTGGCTAATCCATGACCATGGAATTACCATATTTTTCGCTCTATAACACGCACCGGACCATAACACGCACATAGTTTTTAGAGGAGGAAAACAAGAAAAAAAATATTCTAAACGAAACAGTGGATGTATGATTTTTGTGGTTCATGCTGTGGCCACAGACATGTGATCTGACGGGAAGTTTGGGGTAGCCCAATGCAAAAACCCTAAGGATCCATGTGGATCCATGCTTTGTAAGCACGTTTTTGCACCACTGCGGCCCCAGGCAACAGTGGGTGCATGATTTTTTTGGTGCAAGCTGTAGCCATGGACATGCTATGTGATCTGATGGTGAATTTGGGGTGACCCAGTGCAAAAATCCTGAGGATCCATGTGGATCTGTGCTTTGTAACCAGGCTCTCTGTCCCTCTCTTCTCCCCACTCAGTGGCTCTTCTCCCACTTTGCTGTTTCAAAGCGAGCCACAGAGGAGGGAAGGAAGGGGAACCATGGATCCTCTGCTCACGACTGCAGCAGATCCCCCCGCCATCCGTAGGCATTCGCTCCATAACACACACAGACATTTCCCCTTACTTTCTAGGAGGAAAAAGGTGAGTGTTATGGAGCAAAAAATACGGTAAATATGAATGTGTGCATTTTGAGCTTCTTTAAAAAATGTGCCATACCAGAAGTTGCAAAACGTAAAGTGGTGTTATTATTTCATAGGAACCTCGGAATAAAGCACAGGAAGATTTCAGAAAACAGTTGGTTCATGTGTTTCCTAAAAGTAATGGTGACAACTTGGAGTAAGTCTTAGAATTTCCTTTAAAAAAAAATAAATGAAGATTTTACATATGAAGCTAAATGAACTTTCATAGAATAAATTTGGTAGAAATGTTTATTATAGTAATGTTTTATAACATATTTAATATAATAGTGAAGAAAACTTACCACATTTTAGTTTGAAAGAGTATAATCCATTAGAAAATAGCATACTTAGATTTTCTGACAATATCTGACTTTTTAATATATGTCTTGTAATAAGAAAAATTAATATGATTTCCCTGCCAATATTTTGTACTCTGAATAGAAGTACTTGGTATTATGCCAGATGCCACCATAAGGACCAATCCTGGTCTTATGATGTCTTTTTTTATGCACACACCCTATAATGTTTTTATTTGCAGTTTCTAAAATAATAAACCATTTGCCTCTTTAAAAGTTCAGGGCTCCTATTTGATGTACTACAAAAAGGCATAATAAATATGGACAGAAGGTTAAAACTTCATGGCAGCATCTGCTAAAGCATGGATGGGGAATCTGTGGACCTCCATTTGTTATTGGACTATATCTCACATCATCTATTGCCATGCTACCTGGAGCTGATGGGCCTTCCAGCATCTGGAGGGCCAAAGGTTCCTTACCCTTGTGCTAAAGACTCAGAAACCCAAGGATCTTTGAGCAGGATATTGAACAAACCTACTTACCTTTCATCCTTACCTCTATTGACCCTACACTGCAACCTTTGTTCAAAATCAGGGCTTTCTTGGTGTGGAGTATGTCCAGCTCTGCTTATGTTGATGTTTCTGACAATAAATCCAGTCTTTCAGAAGGGAGTGATAATTTAATTCCTCTCTTAAATAACTGTTACAGCCTTATGCTGGATGTTACTTTTTTTCAATGGACTGGTTTGTTTTTTGTACTAGTTCACATTAGCGGGGAAAAAATATTTTCAACTTTTAACTATTCAGATTTTCAGATCCACCTGAGGACTCTTCTCCACTTACAGACTGGGATTCTAAGGTACCTTCTCCTGTTTTTGGAGCCTCTGCAAATGTGAAGAAGAGCAGCTTGGGCCTCAGTACAAGTCTTTCCTCTTCTGTGTTAGCAACAGGACGTAAGTCAAATCTGAAAAACAACTCCATCAACAATTCTTCCTATTCTAGATCTGAGAAAGTGAAATCAGTATCTGAAGATGTTGCTTTTGTTGTACCGCTTAACCCTGGGACTGAAATAACCTCTGTTATCAGCCAGGCTCCAACCGGTAAGCAAGTGGTTCTGAAACAGAATGCAGATGAGCCCATAACATGTGTGACCAACACACATTTAGATAAAGATGAGACAGGCAAGAGTGACTTCCTTCTTCCATCACAGAAACAATTAGGCAGCCGATGCCCTAAAAGGAAGAAACCTGATGAAAGGAGTGGGCATGTGATCAGCTCTGAAAAAGAAAATGCCTTCCCTTCCCATGCAGACAATTCTCCTATCAATAGAGATAATATAACTGATAAGCCTTTAGATTTATCTGATCGCTTTTCGGGTTTTCGCTGTCAAGGAAAAAGCCATGTAAGTGCTGAGACCTCCAAAACTAGGCTGAGGCAGGCAACTCTTTGTGATGTTTTTCAACCACCAGTGAAAGATTATTCATCTAAAACCATCGTTGGTTATCTAATGAGCCAAGATTCACCAGAGGATCCCTGTGTACAGGAAGCATCCCTGGAGAGAGAACCTCAAGTACAGATAAAAGAAGAGATCACTTCCTTTTGTAATCCACCAAACGACGTCCTGGAATCAGAGCTCTCTGAAGATATGGAGGTAAGTTTGTGAGCAACACTGTTACCTAGCATAAATAAACACCTGAGGTTTTCGGGGAACGGTAGCATTTCTTTTGCTTCTTTGCCAAAGAGAGAGTTCACATGACAGTTATGCAACATTTGCCGGGGGAACTTTCTTGCTACTTATTTGTACTTCTAGGGTGGGGGATCAGGAGCTGGCTAATGTGATACAGCTGGCTAATGTGAATTATGAACAGCATAGAAAGAATATTTGGGCAAAAGGTTTTTAACATTGTAATTGTGTCGGTAGGCTGCTGGTGTCCATAAACCAACAAATAAGAGGATAAGGTTACAAATTGCAGTAGGTGAGCCAGCATCTGTGCTTCAACCAAATCCTTGCAGAGTGAAAAAAGCCGCAAATCTGCACAAGGAACAAGGTACCTTGTAACTCATCATATTATTGAAATATCAGAACATTGGTGTTCTTTGTCTTGCCCTTTTATTGGCGTTACCATCATCTTAACAGAGATCCTACATACCCATTAGGGACAGATCTGTAGCGAGTGTCTGCTACATCCATAATCCTGTCAACTTGCTTCAGCCAGGGCAAAAGGGGTAGATTTCCGCAAGGTTTTTGCCTCAGTCAGTTTTGTTTTGCTTAAAACAAAAAGCCACCCTTCTATTGACAGTAATGAAAAGGAAAATAGGGGTGCCAATTCCAGGGCTGTCACACTTTTTCATCGATCTTGAGGATACCTTTGAAAATTTGCCCTATTAGTGGAATAGTCACTATTTATCTCGTTATTTTGATCTGCATATCCTTAGAATTCTAAGACTTTTAGAACATTCATTTCTTTTACAAATTAATTATCTCTTCTTTTGAAGATAATTCATCCTTGGAAAATGTGCAGTGGAGCATAGACCCAGGAGCAGACCTTTCCCAATACAAAATGGATGTTACTCTCATAGATGCAAAAGTAAGCAATCTTAAAAATACTAATGACTTTGGTTGGTTGCTTCTTCAAATGTAATAGTTCATTTGCTAACATGAAACTGAGTTAGTACATTTGCTTGTGTCATTTATGTGATAGATCCTCAATGTTTGGAAGTTTATAGACTAGTTTTAGAGAATGATTTGAATAATATTTTCAGGCCTGGTGAATCATGGGAGATGCTGAGGTTTCAATCAACTCTCAGCTTGCATGTTACACAGTTTGGAAGTGATGACACTACTAAATGAATATGTGTGATCTACCCCTCCAAAGGATTCTTGCAGAATCTTAAAATGTGATCCACAGTCTGAACACTTTTTTGTTCCTGGTATTTTCTCTGGTATAGAAGTTTAAAATATGTATTTGATTGCAATATCCTTAAAAAAAATGTTACATAATTATTTTGTGACTCTGTTGCCTAAAAGGAAGGGATCCAAACAAGAACTGAAGCAGAGACTGTAGACATGGACTATACATATGTCAGTGATAGTATTCTAGTAAGAATGAAAAATCAAGAACATAAAGAAGTAAACAGTTCAAGTAAGTTATTTTTGTTTGATTGTTTTAATAGCACAAGTGAAAAACTGAATATAACAGTTACAAGCTCCTTTGCATATAGAGATGTATGGCACACACGTGGCTGCCCCATGTACCAAGATGACTTCCCTGGTTAGCATTTAAGAAGGGATGATGGAAAATGCATGAGCAGTCCATCAGTTCACTGGAAAGATAAAAAAGAATAAGCCCCACTCCAACAATGCACAGCTTAGAGAATGAGGACAATAGAACAGTTGGTTGGGTCCAGCGGTTCAAAATGCTTCTGTTTGACTTGAAAATAAGCCGTGTATTTTTTTCCTGCTTTATAGCCTTATAACTCTGCCATAAGGAACCATAGTCCTTATTATAGTCTTTTGGACCCAGCAATGTTGTAAGCTATGGCCTGGTGTACTGTATGTTTCTTGAGCTTTGTCTAACTTGGTAGCTGTGTGTCTTTTATGGAGGTGAATTATATGACTAGAGTCCTGTGCAGTCTGGTAGCTTCTCAAGTGTACTGCTGTAATGTACTATATGCTCAGCTATCCTGGAAGACAGTTCAGAAACTACAACAGGCCTGGAACGTGGTAGCTTGTCTACTTATCGGAGGTAATAACCAGTACATATAACCTTGCTTCTTTTTGATCTTCACTTGTGAATAGTTCATTTCAGGGTAGAATTCAGCATTCTAGACTTGCCCTATAAAAGCCTTTAAGTACTTGGATCTGGGATAACTAAGGTCCACTTAATTATTCAGGTGCCACCACTATCGATGATAACTAAAAACTGGGGCTTCTGTAAAAGTTTTTAGTGAGTTGGGGTTAAGAGAATTCTAAAAATTGTGGGTGCTCTTACCTTTAAAGTTGAGATGCTTTAAGATATTTCTTATTTATTTAGTTTGCAAAAACAAGCAAACCCACACACAACAAAACACCTTTAGCCTGCTCTGTGCAGCCTTTTGGCATTCTTGAGATGGAATGCCCCAGTCAGAATGTTGCAGTGAAGCCTGCCAGGCTACTGAGGGCAGCAAAGTCACAGCCTAAACTGGCAGCAAGATTATTAAAAAAGAAAGAAAGAAAAGCCCTCAGCCAGTTCATATTTAAAAGTAAGACACACACCCCCAATACCCTGCAGGTTCTTAAGAAACTTATTTGTTACAGCTATTTATACCCCACCTTTTAGGATACAAATTTGAACAATGCCAAGAAAGAAGATTTAAAATTGTCATTATTCTCTTCCTATATTCTAGTATCTACCAGAAATTCCCAAGAAGCTATTTAAGTCATGGGTTGGTCCATCTTTCTAATACAGATAATCAAGATGGCATGCCTTAAGTTAATAAATAACAAAGCTAGTTTTAGAACCTGATTGGTTTTTTAGATCATGCTGCTTTTTAGCTCAAGGTGTCAAGAATAATGCTAGTAATAATTGTTGCTCACATTTGTCAAAGGAGAGAAAAGAAGAAATGACACCTTTGCAGAAATATTTGATCGGACATCATATGAAGAATATGAATCCTATCTAGAAGATGACAATGCCCTAGGATGTAACAATAGGGAGTCTTGTCAGGCGGAAGAGGAGGAAAAGAAGGAAATGTCAACAGTAAAGAAAAGCTTACAGAGTATGTATTTGTTTTAAGACTTGTAATTCACTGCCAACATTGGGTGAGGTTGAGTTACAGCTTTATTTTCAGTGCACATAGGATTTCAACCATGGATGGTCCTGCCAGCAGAACCTCAGTTAGGAGAGCTGTTTGTGAGTGGTCTTCCACTAATGGGATGTTCCTGCTGCTAGAAGTAGGTGACAGTTCTCCGCTTTCAATGGACATCTGCCCCAGATGTTTGAGGGACCCTCCCAAAGCAGCTTGAGGCAGCATAGGGGGTTGCAGAAGGAGGGGAAGCCTATCAAAAAAATCTGCACCACCCATGTACTCTAGCAGGAATGTCTACTAGATCCCAGTTCCCTCTAAGGAGAAGGAGCCCTACCATTCAAGGAGGGCTAATTCGAAACCAAGTCATTATCTTTTAAAAGATCTAGGTGTTCAAGGGAAATTATCATTGTTTTCAAGTACTGAGAAATCTATATTGTAGTTGGCTGGGACCAAGTTTGTTTCCTTAAATTGATGACGTGTTCTATATTTTCAGGGCATAGAGACAAACAAGATAAAACCAAACAGAAGGCTTTTGTGGAATCATATTATAAAAGTGATGAAAGGTATATACCATATGCTTGTGAAAATCATCTTTAAGGCAACCAGACTTCTTCTGTATAAAAAAAGATGATTCGCTTGTTTTTCTTCAAGTGATTACATGGCAGAACTGGGATGTCGTAGTTTGAAAAAGATCAAGTAAACTTTGAGAAGAGTCATAAAGAATGTGAATTGAGTGTAAAAATGCACTGCTTTATTTTAGTTAATTGTAGATTAAACATATACCTGTTTCCAGTTTGTGGAGAATGAAGAAGATGAAAGACATAGGGATATATCTTCCATTACTGTCAGTTATATTAACATGGGATCCTTACCATTCCTTCCAAGCCTCTCTGTCCATTGTTCAGCACCCTTTAAAGATGAACAGAGATTAACAGTAACAGTATTTAGTAGATTGCACTGATATGTTGTGCCTTTGCCCATTATACCTAAAATAATACTGTGGTCAAATCCTTTTGAAGTGAACAGGATTTGAATGACAATTATGGTGGCCATCTGTTCTTAACTCTCATTGGTTATATAAACATGAAAAAAGCAGTAAACATAAAAAGTAGCAAAATATTCAGATGTACAATATTTAAGTTAGCTGCCACAACAGTTATAGATCCCATTTTAAGTATGTTTTATAATTAATCGTAAAGCAACAGCAAAACCGAAATTGCTAAAGCAACTTGATGAAACATTAAACCAACATAGTTGCCTTAAATAGTTTTAAGTTGTAAAATTGTTTATAACAATGTGCTTAAAGCTGTAATTCACCCTGGGACCTTAGGGTAAAAGGCAGGTAATAAATAAGTAAATGATAGTTTTCTTATGCAAAAAACAGTATTTGCAACCTTGTTTAGATCTTGCAATTTCTGTTTACTTTCCAGAAGGAACACTGTATTAGATTTTCCTCACATTGAGGTGGTCCGTAAAAAAGAAGAAAGGAAAAAATTACCTGGACACACTTGTAAGGAATGTGAAATAGTAAGTTAATTATTTTTCCTTGATATCATGAACCTCATTCTGTTTATTCAATAGAATAATTTAGGTATCTCATGAATTTCATATACAGAGACATATATCTGTAGCATAGCTGATGAAATGGTGCAGTGTGCATTTAACCAAGGTATGCATGACCCTTATTTTTGAATATTTAGCTACCTGCTTGACTATAATATGTATTGGGAAGAAATGGAAATAACAGAGTGCAATAAAGACTGCTGATTTTGAACAGTGCAAAAATAGACTATAGATTAAAACTGAAAATGCCTGTGAAATCTCCTGGACACTTCTATAGGTGCACAGGGTCTCCTGCAACTTGAGATTTACAGTTTTTAACTCATGCTTCCGAGGATCCCCTGACATCAGAAGTTGCTATTCGTATGGGGTGAGGGCTGCAGTTGGAAGAGAGCCCTAGACACTGCCTACATAGGTTTAGGATCTAAAAAAAAATAAAAACCCATACTAAGATTGAAATTGACCGTTTATCATCACAAGGGAATAATACATATTAATAATTTATAAACTGCTTTTCTACTTTAAGCATTTCTCCCCAGTCTTAAGTTATTGCATCAAATAACTTGATACAAATTTCATCTAATTATGCTGTAAGCAGAGTGGATAAAAATCAATGATTTTTTTAAAAATTAAAAAATGGATTTTTAAATTTAAATCAGATTTTTTTAATCGGATTTTTAAAATAAAATGCTTTTGGAGGAAAAATCTTTCTAAAGATAGTTTTCTATTTAAGTTACATTATAGTCCAAAGGCTATTCATCAGGAAATAAGGATTTGTTTAAAGTTTTTCATGTGTGCTAAAACTCAGTCTAAGGTGTTTTTTTAAAAACATATTTTTAAAAAGTTTAATCACATCGGTTAACAAACATGGATACATATGCTATAATGTTATTGTTTTAGTTAAATAAATTGTTTACACTGTTATTAAGTAAATGATTATTTTTCTCCTTCCAGTAAAGTACAGCAGAAAAGTTGTCCAGATATAAACAATAATTTCATAATTATCTGTCTATGTATTTCTGATAGTATAACCAAATCAGTAATTTTTGATGTAACTAAAAACTACTCTGAAAATTTATTATTCCAAAAATGAAACCTTCCTCTGGTAGTAAATATTAAGAGGATGCCAGCAAGGTTGAACCTTTCTGTAAAAATGATTTAAATCAAGCCTTACTGACTAGTGATTTAAATCAATTTGATTTAAATCAAATCCACTCTGGCTGTAAGAGCACATGTAATTCATTCATTAATGTATTCTACAATTTGTTGGGGAGCATAGATGAGTCTTATACTATGTAAGAGATTCCATTTACTGTTTTTAACTTGTATTTCCATCTTTCTTATCTATTCTTCCCATTTTTTTAAAAACACACACTCAACTGTATGTTTCTGAAATTAAATATTTAAAAATAAGGAGCTTAATACAAACTTAATAAAAACTTTGCGATACCTTTCTGTATTGCACATAGCTTAATCTATAGCCTACTGTGAAGCTTAATTTTGTTCCAAAATATGTGAAATCCAGAAGCCTAAAATAATAAGAAAGGGACATAAAAGCAGCTCTGTGTCTTGTGCCAAGAGCTGTGTGTGAACAATTTTAATTTCCTGTCTCTGCACAGTGCAAGACTTCTCTTTAAGAACTTGTCTCTTGTTAGATTTTGGTGAGTTACTCATAGCAGTGACTATGAGATTGGAAACACATGGGGAATTTTTTTATAATGAAGAAATGTTCAGAATAAAGGCAGAATTTTAAAACACTTCTAGAAAGAGGCTTTTAATATAAACAATCCAAGCAAATTATTTTCACAAAGGCAGGTGGAATTTCAGCAGTAGCATTGCACCAAAATAATGGGATGTGAGGCAGAATCATAGAATTTGTAGAGTTAGAAGGGACCATGAGGGTCATTTAGTCCAACCCCCTGAGATGCAGGAATCTTTTGCCCAACATGGGGCTCAAACCTATGACCCTGAGATTAAGAGTCTCATGCTCTACCAACTGAGCTATCATATGGGTTGACTACATTCAATATTTTGTACAGCCAATATGATAGTGCTTCATGTTGTTTGGTTTTTTTTAAAATCCTGCCCAAAAGGCACCCTTTTTTGGTACACTAAGCTTCATAAATGAAATAAAATCCTAAGAAAAGAATGCAGGGCACTGTGGAACTCTGCCTAAACCCTTTCTTGGGATTTTTATTTTTTTTAATAGATGTTAGGTTCCTCTGCTTTCCTCTTTTCTTTGTCGGTGGAAGTATGGAAAACTTAGGGAATGGCCATAAGGCCCACCATTGCCACAGCAGAAAATCTTAGGTCTGAGAGAGACTTTCAGCTGAATGTGTGAACTGACTCCATGGATAAGCACTGCATGGGAGGTGATGTGAATGTGTTGTATGTGATGTTTGTTTTGCCCATGCAGTTCATCCCTTCAGTCACCAGAACTTGAATGTGTAAACCAGCCATTAAAATCCCACACGTTTTCTAAGTCCCGCTCGTCAGAAACTCATATTTTCTACTCACTGCCTGCATGATATGCCCCTTTTGGCATTATATATTAGACCCTTTTTATGATTCCTCAGTCTTTGGAATTTGCAAGCTGTCAGATTTCTACTTCAACTGAAGCAAGAATTTAGCTTTAAGAAAGAGATTTCTGAATACATATAGACAATGTGGTACTGCACAATATCTGTATCATACAGTTCTGACAGGGACCATGGCTTGAAGCACAGCATATTATCTTAGTAAACGCAAAGGGGATTAAATGTACTCCCTCTTGAAGTATTATGGAGCCTTCTTAAAGAGCTTTTATGTGCGAGTTTGTAGCTGTTATTCAGGTCAGTGGGAATATACTGCACATTGTTTTCGGAACCTTAGAACTGTCAAACTGCAAAGAAGCTAAAGGTCGCCTAGACTCAATACCCTGAAGCAGGAAACGGTGTACCAAACTTTTAAAGAGGAAAAAGATTGTAAAACACACCTGTTCTAAAATTATAAAATAAATAAGAATCTGGCAACAGACATCCCATTCTAAGAGAACATTAATATATTATCCTGTTAGAATCAGTTAGACATGAGGTGAAATGGGGAGCAGGAAGGACAAGAGTAACACTGTACCACTGTCAGGCCGGAATTGGTGAAATATGCTGCTAAATTCTGCACCAGCTGAAATTTCCAAACACTCTCCCAGCATCACCCTCTGGAAACTACCATCCAAGCAGGATCGGAACCACCGCAAAGCAGTACCACCCATCCCTAACTCGGGCAGCCACTCCAGAAGGATACCATGGTTGGTGGTATCAAAAGCTGCTGAGAGGTCAAGGATAATTAATAGGGACACATTTCCCTGTCTCTCTTCTGACAGAAGTCATAAACCAAAACAGTTTCTGTGCCAAACCCTGGCCTAAACCTTGATTGAAATGGAGCTAGAAAACCACTTCCTTTCAAGAGTGCCGGGAGGGGGGGGATAAGTAATGGACCCTTTTTTGGGTATTCTGGTTCAGGAGTTATTTCTTAATACTGAGTTTCTGCAATATCTCTTTAGTACTATGCAGATTTTCCAGAAGAGGAGAGGGAAAAGAAGTTAGCTGCCTGTTCAAGGCATCGGTCTCGCTATGTTCCTCCTGATACACCAGAAAATTTCTGGGAAGTCGGATTCCCGTCCACCCAGATGTGTGTTGAAAGAGGCAAGTATGTGAAATAGTGGCTTAAAAGGTGGTACAGTCACCTAATAGACACAGATCTGTCTTCTTCATATTCAGACTTGATCGTTGAGGTCTTCTGATTGAGCTGTTTCGGTGGTCGCCTAGACCCCTGAGGTTCAGCTGGCCTTTTCCAGGGGCCGAGTCTTTAGTGTGGCAGGCACTGCCCTGTGGAACCCCTTGCCACAAGTTTGCTAATCCTTGCTAATACAGGTTCGGCAGGCATGATCATTTTTAGACATATTTTTAAAACTGTGTGATTATGACAGGACTTTCAAACCTGAGATTCTTTGCCAACCAGCTCTAACTGCTGCGTTTGATGTTTTTATTGTAATACTGTGTTTTTAGTCTGTATACTGCCTTGAGATAGTTTATATGAATGTGCAGTTCACAAATATTAAAATAAATGTTGCATCAGCCAATTGGGTTGTATTGAACATTACAGGAATCTGCAGTACCAGCCTACAGAACTACTACTGGGGGGAAACTGGGCCAGATTCAACTAAGTACTTTTCACTAGTAGGAGCCCGTACAAGAGCTCCTGTTAGCACAGAGGGGCTTTCCCCCCCTCCCCTGCCCATGTATGTCAAAATTGGCTTTGAGAGGGTTGGGAGAAAAACCAGAACAGCACGTAGGAGGGAGGAGAGAGGTCATTTCATTGGACAAAAATAAATGCTTGCATTGGTGGAACATGTTTTAGTGTGACGTTGAATTCCTCCCACTATTTTTACATTTACAGTGGTGCCTCGCAAGACGAAATTAATTCGTTCCGCGAGTTTTTTCGTCTAGCGAATTTTTCGTCTTGCGAAGCACGAAATCCCATAGGAATGCATTGAAATTCAATTAATGCGTTCCTATGGTCAAAAAAAGTCCAAACAAAGCCAAATTTGGTACAACAAGAGTTTATTAAGTGCTCTTTAAAGTCACACATACTGTAAAGAGCATTTCAAAAATTGAAGGAACAATAAATTAAGTTTCTAAACATGACAGAAAAACATTTAAAAATCAACAAAGTGTACAGTACATTTTCTAAGACTCTGGGGGACAACTCGAAGAAGGTTCCTCTTCCACTCTTTCCTTCTTGCTGAAGAACCCCCTCCTCTACTGTTCCCCCAGCCACCCACCACACAGAAATTCAAATCCAGAATTTTTTTAAAAAAACAGCAGAGTGGCCCAATGGTCACAGAAAATCATAAAAATGCAGAAAAAAACCAGACAAGCTTCCAGATTCTTGCAAACCCCTCCTCAACTGTTCCCCCAGCCACCCACCACACAGAAATTCAAATCCAGAATTTTTTTTAAAAAACAGCAGAGTGGCCCAGTAGTCACAGAAAATCAGAAAAATGCAGAAAAAAACACACAAGCTTCCAGATTCTTGCAAACCCGTCCCCAACACCAAGTCCTTGAATTCCAAACACCCCAACCCAAAATCCAAAAACCCCCCAAAAAGTTTTAAAAGTTTAACTTACCAAATGGCTGCAAAAGAACTTTTGGAAAAGCTTCAAAAATCACCAAAGTCTTCAAAAAAGGCTACCACACCGCATTCTATGAGTTGCTCCTCGAAGTCAAGTCGCAACTGTATTAACGGTGTTAAGAAAAAGGAAACAAACTTGCAAGACGTTTTCGTTTTTCGTCTTGCGAAGCAAGCCCATAGGGAAATTCGTCTTGCGAAGCAGCTCAAAAAACGCAAAACCCTTTCATCTAGCGAGTTTTTCGTCTTGCGAGGCATTCGTCTTGCGGGGCACCACTGTATTAAAGTATTTCAAATACTTAACAAAGTGTTCCCTTTACTTAGCTACCCACCTGCCTGATAACAGAACTTACGACTGTTGATGTTTCAGAATGAGAAACAATGGCTGCATTGCACTTCATGGTAAACCAGTTACTAGTTTGCTATGAACACATAGACAACACCTGCTTGGCTCCTTCCTGGCACGAAACAATGATGCCTGGCTTAGTGTTAAATCTGAACTGGAGATCATGGTTTGATTTGTTTCAGTCAAACCACAGTGTGAAGGAAGGGTTTGTTCTTTGCTTCCTGCTTTCTGTTTGGTTTGCATAAGCCAAATGGTTCAAGTGTAATGCTAAGTCAGGGATTTTGTAGTTTTTTGTTCACACTATGGGGGCAATGAAACAGGAGCCATCTGTGCATCTGTCGTAAACAATTAATCATGGTTTACCATGATGTGCAAATGTGACCAACAAGAAATAGTTTGGTGGGGAAAAGAAAAAGAAACCCAGCACATAAATATTCAAGAAAAAATATGTTTTGTATAGTTTACCACTGTATATGTAATCAGAAGTAGTATTCATTGGTGGAATCCTCCTTAAATCAGTTTCTAGTTGCTGCAGTACACACATTCTTTATCTGAATGCAATCCAGGCATTAAATGATCTCCCAGTAGATTAGTGCTATACTGCTTTCATATGCAGGAAGCCATGAAAAAAACTATAGCAATCCCATTTCCTTTTAAAGAGTATCTAGAGATCATCAGCTTCCTCATAAAATACCTCTTGTTTAGTTTAGAGTTTTCATGCCAGAAGCCTTTCAAGCACAAAGTTACTCTTAATTATTTAGAATGCCATTATTTAAGTGGGTGTACTTGAGAAAAGCGCCTAACTTTTTTCACTCTGCACTGCCAGTGGCACTTCACAACAAAGAACAACTTATTAGACTAACATTTTTATGCGAGGAGATGGAACAGCAGGGAGCCAATTTGTCCTGTATCTGGAGCTCAGGTCACCTGTTTTACTAGCAGGAAGACTAGACAAGACTCAGGCGTTACTCGTTTGGGACAGGTAGAGTCTTTCCTGTTCTGTACAAGGGATGCCATGTCCAACATAGGGACCTGGCAAAGCCCAGACCTCCCACAAACTTTCTGCAGAGAACTGCCAGCACCAGTTGGCTCACTTGGATTTTGCTAAGAGGTGAAACTGAATCCATGTTCAATATACCCCATGTTCAAACCCTAAGCCAAGTAAGATTTCATCATCAGGTGCATAACCGCATTGTGCCCAGTGTGTCAAACTATTGCTCAAAAGAAACATTTCTTATAAATAAAGCTAGGACAGCTTGTATGACGTAGGTATGTACCAAATAATTGCCTTGGCTGGGGTGCTATGGAAACTTAAACTAGGACTAGTGTGGCCATTTATTTCAGTGGATTGTGCTGGTAGTCTTTGGGTTTTTTTGCAATATCATTCATGTCTCATGAGAGTTCATCAGTGTTTTAAATGTATTAGTTGTGCACCCTGTTAAATATTAAGACATACATTCATTAATCTTTATAATAATAGCAAGTGATAATATTTTCAGTTTATTTAGCACTTTTCCTAAGTGCTGGAAGTACATCACAAACATACTTTCAGAAATATTTACTTGGTAGACTCAATATTATTATCTCCCTATTGCAGACGCAGGCCTGAGTTGAAGTGATAGTAACTTGTGTCGCCCGATCAGTCCATTACTGTGATGAAAAATGAACCCGGGATACCTCCACTCTAAGCTTATTTTTGTAACCACTCTAGTATGCTAGCAAATTGTTTCCCTGTTTCAGCACAGAAAGTTACCCTTACATATAGAACTATAAGCTGTGCCACAATAGCAGTTAAGAAGCTTAAAACGCCAAATAACACTGTTTGGTATGCTGACCACAATAGTTGGGTTGCAGTAGTTCCACAGGCATACTCTTCCTAATCACTCCTGGCTGAAATCCAATACACTTATTTGTAATCCTGGATCAGAAGCTTATTTCAAGTACAAACTTTTAAAAGAAATGTATTCTAACCAGATAAATTGTTAAGAGTGCAAATAATTTCACAAATTTGTGAGTCAAGGCCCCGCTCCCCGCTTTGTGATGAAATAAGACACATGGACACAAGCATTTTCGGTTAATGGGCTAAAAAGGGCCACAACTTTATATTGCTTCTAACATTAGACGTTTCGTATGGACTCTTTTTTACAATCTTTAATATAAAAATTTAAAAAGCCATTTAACACTGAAAGAAGCAGGAATTTCTCCCAGCTCTGTTTGATAGTGCTTTCTCTTGCCCAAATCATGTGTTGAAATTTCGTTGTGTCTTTTTTTTTTTAGGTTACATAAAAGAGGACCTTGCTCCCTGCCAGCGTCCTAAAAGAAGACAGCCTTATAATGTGATGTTTTCTCCAAAAGGCAAGGAACAAAAAACATAACTTGAGGAATAACATTTTACAAATTGAGAAATCCTTTTCTTTGTTTCCATAAATATTTAAAGTCAGTGAAAAAATAAATCCATCTGAAAATCATGGTACCTAAACACAACTATTTAATGTATATATATTTTGGGTTTTGTATATATGTTTGTGTCTTGTCCTGATTTTGCACCTTGTAGTTTGGAGGACCTGTTTTCTGTTCCTTTGGAGTCTGCAGTTCATCTCCCTACTGGCTACATTTACATGGTGTAAATTGGTGTCACTTTCCGGGGCCAAGCACATTGCAGCTGCTAACTTCAGGTCTAGGAGATTCCTGTGAACTTTAGTTGGAACTTTAGAGGGTGCTTCCATGTTGCACTGGATAACTTAAATAATTTGTAACCACTTTTCCTTTTGTAATAATTTTTGGGGAAAAAATCTAATAAAAATGGATTTTCTTAACTATGACTCTTCCTACCTGGTCTTTCCCAAATCTTTTATTTTGGATTTAAATACTTATTTGTCCAACAGATGCGTTAACACTCATAATTTAGCAGATGTATTATTAACCCTACACCATCATTACAAAGCCCCCCCAACAACACCAGAACTCAGAAGAAATGCAGTGCAGAACAAATTCATGAAAAAATGAAGAAATGAGGCTGGGGAAATTGGGAGGGGGAGAGCAAACTAACGAAGCCATTTCTACATGTATAGTGTAGCATGGTGGACATCTTTGAGAGTGGCAGCCATAGGGTTTTTAAAAATTATATATATGTGTGTGTGTGTGTGTGTGTGTGATAATGCTGCTGATACCATGTGCTCCATGATAGTGAGAAAAGTTCTAGAATCCTTGTCCCATAGGAGGAGAGCAAAGAGTCAGTAATAAAAACTACTCTAAGAATGACTTGACCCTCTGTCCTAAACCAAACCACTAAATTATTTACATTAGTTTACAAGTAACCTGAACTAGATAACTGACACCATGGATTACCTAAGAGGTGTAATTACTCTGGAAGTTCTCTTTCCACTCTGGAAAGAAAGGAACAAATTGAACTTGGGAAGCTTTGTCTGATTCTGAAGGACGCGAGTTCATTTGAATGTTCACCCCAGGATATTCTGGGGGAAATACTTTTACAGCAGACAGAAATTAAAAGGTGAACTCACTTCCTTCAGAATCAGACAAAGTATCCACATCATACCTTTAAAGTGTTTAAAGCATTATCATACCACTTTTAACTGTTATGGTTTTTCCCCCCCTCCCAAATATTTACAGCACCCTTAACAAACTAAAGTTCCCAGTATTCTTTGGGGAAAGTCGTAGAAGTTAAAATAGTATAAGAGTGCCTTAAATATATGTGTGGGTATGAAAGATAGCTCTGCTTGCTGTTATCTGTGGAAATCTGCACAAGGTTGAAATTGTCACATTAAAGCTCCCCTCTCTTTTTTTGTCTGACACTGCATGAAACTCACAAAGAAGCACTTCTTTTCTTGGTGTGGTATTAAGTTAAGTAGATACCTAGTTGTACAGCACTTCCTTGTGAGGGTTGAGAACTGGCTACAGTATATGGGGGGGTGGAATCCCATTGAGAGAACTGCGGTATTCATTCAGAAATGGTAGCCTGAGATTGTTTTGTAAAGATAGCCTTCTTTATTGAAATATTTGTTTGAAATACTGTTCATGAGCTAGACAGCTTGTAATCCCTTGTTGTTTTTGCCTATGTTGCTGACATCTGTTTGGCTTCAGAGAGGTCTAGATGCATCCTTGCTACAGTATTCCTTTTCCAAGGCAAGTTTTCTAAAGAGGGGGGTGACCTTGGTGGTGTGGGGACTGACAGGGACAAGAAGGGCTGGGGGTGACACACAGGCTGTCCTGCGTTCTGTGCTAGCTTGCTCCCTTCAGATGTGCTGTCCCACTGCCCGAGTCAAAGGAATATTCACTTGTGCTAGCAGACTGAATTCAGAATGTGAAGAGCCTGTCAAACTTCACTGAGTTATCAAAAGGTGGGCTGAACAGCAAGACTGCTGAAAATAACACTGTCAGGAGACTGTCCTTGGGTTAAGCAGCCAGACAGCAGGTCAAGCCAGGCTTCCAACAGAATGAAACTACTACTGCAGCTAGAGCATAATGAACATGCTTTTTTATTTCTTTTTTTAAAAAACAGCCTGAAGGAAATAAATTTTGCTCCACCAAGTTGCTAAGCAACAGCCACCAGAAGGTGCAACCAGAGGATAGCAGTTCTTGGTATTACAGCACCTAGTGGCTTTAAAACACTGGACCGGTTAACCCTTAACTTTCACTTGTTGGAATGGTCCCCTGACATTGCTATTCCAACAAACCGCCAGCCCATGTTTTACACCTTGTGGTATCCCTTTGTTCACTGTATCCTGAACATCCTTTTTATTTATGAAACAAATAAATATGCCAGTCATCTAATTCTTGGTGTTCATATTAAATTTTGTGTAATATTGACGTTACGTAGCCCATTATGTAAGTTAACATACTCTCTGCATGGAGGAGTATCTTCCTCTTCTCCTGGCCTGGCCCTCACATCCTGTCCACCAGTGAGTAGCAAGGAGATTGGCTGATGCTATGCCCTTTGCTCCCAAAATGCTGCACCTAGAAATGCAGCTGCTTCGCATAACCAAGGGTGGCTGGCTACAGGGCTGATTGAGCTATCATGTAGCTATATTCAGAATATGATTCTGTGTTTTAAACTCATGTACCTCAATTCCCTGCACCTGTTTGCAAGGAACGAGAAGGAAAATGCAATTACAGTGGTACCTCAGGTTAAGTACTTAACTCGTTCCGGAGGTCCGTACTTAACCTGAAACTGTTCTTAACCTGAAGCACCACTTTAGCTAATGGGGCCTCCTGCTGCTGCTGTGCCGCCGGAGCACGATTTCTGTTCTCATCCTGAAGCAAAGTTCTCAACCTGAAGCACTATTTCTGGATTAGCGGAGTCTGTAACCTGAAGCGTATGTAACCTGAGGTACCACTGTATTATGCAACACTTCAAATGTAGAATAAAATGCCAGAATTAAAGCTGGTGTGTATGTTTAGGATACTCTTCACATTCAAGGCTGAACTCCACATTAAAAAGGTAAAGGTAAAGTACCCCTGACAGTTAAGTCCAGTCGCGAACAACTCTGGGGTTGCGGCGCACATCTCGCTTTACTGGCCGAGGGAGTTGACGTTTGTCCCCAGACAGTTTTTCTGGGTTATGTGGCCAGCATGACTAAGCCACTTCTGGCGAAACCAGAGCAGTGCACAGAAATGCTGTTTACCTTCCCGCCAGTACATATTTATCTACTTGCACTTTGGCGTGCTTTCGAACTGCTTGGTTGGCAGGAGCAGGGACTGAGCAACAGGAGCTCACCTCGTCACGGGGATTCAAACCGCCGACCTTCCGATCAGCAAGCCCAAGAGGTTCAGTGGTTTAGACCACAGCGCCACCCGCCACATTAAGGGAACCCAAAGAAGGTAACACACTACAACGTATCTCCCTCAAACATTTGAAGATTGGAATAAAAGTTGGTATTTATGTTCAGCACCCTAGATAAATTGCAAAACAACCTGGTCTCTTAAGCACTATACTTTACTAACCGGTATCTCTGCTTACACTGGATATTGGTTGGATTTGGCAGACATACATTAATGGATATTCATGCCCATCATTTCTCCAATAGGAGACAACTAGTGTAAGTTAAATACAGGTTGCACATTTCAATAGCCTTTGCAGTTACACTAACAATGTACAGCTTTCAGGTTGACTTGACCCAATTGTCTTTTGGCCTGTGCAAAACCAATCTGTTCTTCAAAACTTACTCTACACATGTAGTGTAGTTATGCTTAAATGTACAGCTATGAACAAGCCCTTGGTCTGTGCATGCAGCCCCCATGCAAGAAATAAAACCAAGAAACATAGACCAGTAATTGTAAAAATGGAAGGAGATACCAGGAATGTATCTAAACCAGAGCTTTGCAAACTGTGTGTCACAATGTTAGTATGTCTGCTGCAGGGTGTAGGTGTGCCGGGTGAATGCTCCCCACACTCTTTCCAGGGCTGGAAAGGGGTTAGTTTAACCTCCGGTTTGCTAGTAAAATTGAATTATTGTATCGCAAAATGATGCATGTCTAAAAAGTGTGTCACCAACATGAAAAGTTTATAGAGTCCATTCCTTACAGACAAACTTGCTGTTTGCTTTTTTCAATTTGTTTCAGTGCTATAATCATAAGCTTGGGCATTTTAAAAAAAAAGTATGTTGAGCTTGCCTGTACAATCATGAAAATTATACTGTCTACATCAGGATCTTTTCCACCCAGGAACACAACACTGGCAATTAGAATAATTTGGCCACTAAAGCAGCAATCCTATGTACTTGGAATAAGCTCCACCCAACTCAGTAAGACTGGTTTACAAATGAATGCACATAGAATTCGGCTGAATGACAAATAAGTTATAATCTCTGAATTGGTAGCCTTAATTTTCTATTTCATATATAGCAACAGCAAATCCAATTATGCATCCTTCTGTAGCCAAAACAACAGTAACAACAATAGCCTAGTGAGGACTGAACATGCTCAGTGGGCCCAGAATGCTAAATGACTGGAAAGAGATGGAAAATACGGGGCGGGGGGGGAGAGAGAATAGAATGGCAGATTCTGGAGGAACGCATGGCTGGCTGGCTGCTCCCACCCATGAACTTCACACTATAACATTTTGTTGCAGGTCCAATTTGTAGTATGCTGCAACCCCTTGTCTCAAGGGTTGGGTTTCTTCCGACAAATATATAAACTATGGCTATGCTCTGTTGTAGCCATTTGCGTTATTTGCTAATCTTCTGCATGCAAGATAAGTAAGTTTTGATCTGAGAAATGCCATCAAAATAAGCTAAGCAGAGAAAGAGGTAAGTTACATAGGTGTGCCAAGGCTGCCACTTTTTTTTAATTTAAAAAATCCCTTTATTATGGCCAATCAAAATGTCACAGAATAGTGAGACAGCTTTTGAGTCCACCA